ACTTTTAGTAGCGTGAACTCGCATGTGTTACAACTATGGCTGAAATGGAATCGTCAATATTAATGCGTTCGCTCTATCACCAGTAAATTGACACGTAAATGGCAAAAAGAGTAAGGAATGAGTTCATTGTGAACAAGGTACTGCTCCTATACTTTAGGCTAGGATAGGTTATGTTAGGTAAGATAATGTAGTAGCTAAAAGTAGCCAAACTTACATACCAGTATCCATTATGATTGGTGAATAGTCAGGCATACCAGGTATATTAATACCTCTTGCCGAAAATGTTTACATAGATTGATCTTTACCTACTATTCTTATATTATATACTATAAACAAAAACGCCAAAATTCATATCGTATTATCTATTATTTAATTGAGTAACAAATTTTTCTTATAAACATTTTATAATATAATTTATAGTAAGTATTTTAGATGAATTTCCATTCTTCAGATACGAAATGTGCCGACTTAAAAGGATTTTACAATTTAAATAAAAACCGACAAAAAATCTGGAATATTACAAAATCGTATAAATACCGATTTAGCGAAAGGTCTTGGTGGCTACATATAGCTTGAATTCCATTAGGTTTACGGTCTGCTCGTTGGAGAGATCGCGCATGAATTGGATAATTCTTTGAATGACAAACTTACGCAGTAGCCGCACTTAGGCGCCTTCTTTAAGGACCGAAAAGTAAAAGCTTATTACGGTCTAGTTAGTATGACTAACTACAGACTTCTTTTCAGCTTTCGGTCCAGCCGTTCTCGAGTTTTAGCGAGACTAAAAAACAGCAGTTCATTTTTATATATATAGATATAAGATATAAGATTTCATTTTGCAAAATGTTATTTCTCAAGTTTTGGCCTTAGTGACAAATTTGTAGGCAGCGGCTTGGCTCTGCCCCTGGCATTGCTGAAGTCCATGGGCGACGGTAACCACTTACCATCAGGTGGGCCGTATGCTCGTCTGCCTACAAGAGCAATAAAAAAAATTTAGATCGATTAGACACTGATACCTTTAAGTTTTCTTATAAAAAGGATTTAGGCGACAATTTTGATTGTTAATTAAGTAATTGAAAATAGTTGTTTTGAAAAAAAAAGCATAAACGAAACAGATAAACGTAGAAACAAACTCTAACTTAATTACCCGCTATTCTAGAAATGCTTTGTTCAATGACCTTTTAATAACAAAGTTTAACTCTCGGCTAATTGTATTACATTATATTGCTTTGACTTCATTATATGAAGAGACAATGGCTGCTTCTATTTTATTATATGTGCTTCTATTACATTATGTAATCATGAATCACGTAAACAGTGAAGCAAATTATATTATTATTATTGTCTATTCTTCATTTTATAAAAGAAACAATACGTTACAAAAAGGAACTTTTTAAACAGTGTGTATGTTTTACACTGTACATCTTGACCAAGGTATAAGATATTAGTAGCACTAGACGATGACCGGTTTTTTTTTTTTTTGATAAATTGTATTTTTTATATATTATATTTAAATACGAATTACATATTGATAAAGTGATGAAATATTCCAAAATCGTTTAGGCATTTTTAAGTGGCTTCGGGTGGCTTAACAACGCCATCTGCTGAAATAGCTTTAATGTTATTGTGTCTTTAGAGCAGTTAGTTGCTCTCAATTATGAAAAAATTATTATTGTTCGCCAATAGATGTCGGGAAGAGTCAGAAAGTTGATTATCGATAAAGTTGATTATTGAAAACACGAACAATACAACATTTTCTGAAAATAAAGCGTAGCTAGACCGATTTATCGCCCCCGAAATCCCATGTATACTAAATTTTATAAAAATCGTTGGAGCCGTTGCCGAGATTCAGATTATATATATACAAGAATTGCTCATTTAAAGGTATAAGATTAAAGTCACAGGAATATGAGTAAGCTTCCATTTCGTACTAATCCAGGTGTTAATGTTGTTAGACACTTATTAAGTTCAGTAGAGCATAGCCAAAAAAAGTTTTTTTCTAATCGATTACATTGTTAGAATCTGTCCTCAATTCATTTCCAGTTACCTGGAGGATTTCAAGCGATAAGACTGCTGATAATTACTAACATTCACTTATACTATTTTTATTTATTTAGTCCCATATTATTTCTGGTCTTTCAATAAGTTATTCTATCCTCCACATTCCACCAACTAAAACATACGCATGTTTAATTTAAACCAAATCCACACATCGAATACAAAGTAACTCACGTTGGGCCGCTTCGAAATCTAAATCAAGGGCCAATTCGAATCGATGATCCGGGGCCCAAAAAACAACATCCTGATTAAAATTTCATCAAAGTCCATCGGAAAATATACATATTTTCTGTGTACACAAGAACGCAAAAATCTGAACCCGTTCCTGTATTAACGCCGTACCATTCGAGCAAACAAACCAATTTAATTACGTAACCTTTATTAAAATTCGTTTTTAAAAAGTGTTCATGTTGCAGTTATAGCCCGTTTTTGGTTAGGACGCATTTTGCCTACAAGTTAGTTTATTCTCCTCCTTACGTCGTGTTCCTCAGTGTGAAGAGTCGTGACCTTTACGGAGCACTTTTGTTTGGACTAAGTTCATTCATTCCCTCCTGTCCTCTGCGTAGAGTGGATAGCGACATTGATGCTGGAGCCCAATGTCGTCTTAATTTAATTGGACCAGCGCATGGGACTACGCTCACTTTTTTTTCCCTACCTAAGGCCTGAGAGCCTATTTTAGCGTAGCCTTAACTAGTAGGTGAGCTCACGGGGCTCAAACCTGACGACGTTGCTAACACGAACCCTAGCAAAGGCCGTGCTTCGCAGAATCTACCACCGGATCGGAAACGCGACCCACTGAGAAGATCCGGCGAGAAACTCAGTTGGCTGTGTCTATGGGTTAATTCGCTCGTCGAGCCCTTCGTCGCAAGCGACGGGTTCGACGAGGACGGTGACCGGTGCTTGTGGTACCTAAAAGTACCGTTAATGGATCGGAAGGATCCGTAATGACGCGTTTTGGGCAACGCCCCCTAGGCCTCTGTCCTTCCAATTTGTCGGTGATACCAATACCTGTAAGAAGTATAACTCTAATTTATTACTACATAAAACTAAAGTGAATTAAAAACTAGTTTTAACTATGTCGTCTTAGTGTGAACTTCATTGCAAATCCGGCCTACTTTCTTTAATTGGGAAGACTAAGGTAGATTAGAAAGACAGTAAGTAGATTTTCAGCCTTGTTTTTCAGTTGGTTTCTTTGATCATAATGATATTACCAAAAAACGCTTTTCTCTTACTATTTTTTCTTAAGATGTACAGACGAGCTTACGTTCCACCTCGGGGTATATAACAAAATCCACAAACATAATCAACAAGTCGGGGTATCTAGAAATATCTGAACTAATTTTTAAGCTATAGATCTAATAAAGGAATTCATTGAAAACTGGACAAAACGCGTACCAACTTAAATCAGATGTGCACTGTAACATGCACTTCATACATATTGAGAATGATATCTTCAACGAAGCATTAAGGAATTTCTACCACATATTTCAATAAACAGTGTAAGATAAATGTATATATTATATTAAGATGGTATCGAGGGGTATAAGGCATTTAAGGTATTTGGTTTAAGCGACATTTCGATTAATACGCGACTATTGGCTTTGTAATTTATTTGGTATAAGTATCAACAGTTCGATGTTTTTAATTGAACTTCAATTCAATTTACACCATTCAAATACCTGAAGAAGTTTTTTTAATGAATTTTTTTTCAAATTTTAAACTTTAAATGGCTTTCCTGTAAAGTTGCAAAAATATCGCTTAAACCAATTAGCCTTTCACCCCTTGGTATGAAGTATTGTGGGAGCTAAAGTTTGATTAAGCTTGCATATCAATACTATATGCAGTATTGCAACAGACTGAAGGTGTGATTTTTCTAAAGACGTTTTTAAACGTGAAGGTGCAACTATTGTTGGTACGGCGTACTGTGAGCCCGAATCAATATTGTACAGTATCCTATCTAACTCAACCGCGACGCATTCATCCAGTCGTTCCTATATGAGGGTTAGGACTGCCGTTTTACAATAAAGATAGATTCATTCGCGAAACAGCTGCTCTTGAGTTGTCAGGTCTCCTTCGGAGGCGCTCGGGCAGCTGTTAGCAAATCCCACCACTCTTGGCTGAACCTTTACTCGCTCACCTGTCCTGGTGAAACTGGAAAGGCTTCCGGACCACCAGCAATCCTTCAATAAAAAATATATATATATACAAGCCTTAGCCCTGTCTCGAGGTGGGTTGTGACATTCACACTGTAATGCCCCATGACCACTTCAACAAGGAAAAAATACTTGTGTATCTGGAAATTGTGTACCCCAATCCGCTGATAAGCTAATAAATTAACGAGTTCTGTGAAGTTTTGGTCACTTCCACTGTTCTTCAAAAACAAACATCAATAAATAAATAAATAATAAATAAATATTTACTAACAATCACGCCACGTTAACAGGTCCCGTGGTAAGTTCGTAAAGAACTTGTGTTACAGGTACCAGATAACGGAAATAAATGTAACATTTTTATTATACACATACATATATTTAATAGACATCCATAACCCAGGAAAAGACATTTATATTTATCATACAAATATCTTCCCTTGGCGGGATTCGAACCCGCGACCCCCTTGTGTAGTGACCATGTCACTTACCACTACACCAGACGGCCGATGAACTTTTTAAATATATTTTTTATCTATTAAATGATCATTTTTTTAATCAAATACATCACAAAACCAGTACACGAAATCTAATCGTGTGGCACAACATGGTTCTATGTTAATTTAGAATTAGGCAACTAAACCTTTTCAATAACAGGTTTGTAAGACTGAAAATCTTCACAAACGAATCGAGATGAGTTTTCCGAAGGCTTCCGAGTTTTCCCGAGGGTGTATGGAATCCTCACCTTTGGAAAACATCGCCCAATGCCGAATCAGTGCTGGCTCGTAGCTCGCCGCGAAAGGTCGTGACCAAACGCCGTAAAAAAGGAAATATTCGCGCGTAAATTGAAAAATAATACTGTGTTCTGTGATCAATCGAATCTGATTTATTTTTATTCTTAAATAATATTATTTCGTAACGTTTTCAATATGGCAGTGTAATTTTTACAAGATATAAATAATGAGCTATTTTCTCATACGACTTTAGTCTGTGAAATATCTTTAACATTTTTAAGGAGTGTACAACCAATTCATTTTGAGTAAGCAGCTTGGAGTTTTTTGCTAATGGTAGGGCTGGGCTTGTATTGTGCACCTGCAGTAGCTATCATCATCCTGCCGATTTCTGCGGCGTAGACCTTATGCGGTCCTGACCAAACCTGATCGCCTGACCGTCGGTCTTGTATTAAGGACTTCAGCCTCATATCTAAAGAAGAAGCTTTCACGTTGCAGTATCTATGAAATTCAGTGTAGGTATCACATAAGGTTCGATAATTCATTAGTGGATCTGCTCATCAAAGGTTAAAAGAATTTGAATTTTTCAAGTTTTATACTTGAAAGAAGCGTGTTTGTTAAGACACTAATAAGTTATTTTCGCACTAATTGAGTCTACAATACAATGTATTGAAGAGTTTGGAGGAGGATACAAAAAATAGATACGAATGGACAGTCCATTTAGTTTCAAAACATTTCCTTCCAATATACAATATTCGTAATGTTATTTCAATTCAAATTCAAATAACATTTACAACTATATTTTACATTTACTCTTTCTGTATGTCTACTTATTTGTCTGATTGGTTTTACGGCTCAACGAATTTAAATGGCACGGAAATAGCTTCACCCCCGAAGAAGGCTACTATTATTTAAGAATCCACCCTTAAACGTGGTGAAAGGGGTAAAGTTTTGTAGGGGTAACTCTTGATAATGATACGTAGGAACTTGTCACTCCTAATGAGATAATTGTTTTCGTAAAAATCGATACCTCAATACTACATACAATAATAATCGATATCAATCACCCGGTGACTGATTCCTTGAGTTCTAAAGAAATTTCAGAGAAAATGGAATTTCTTATAAAGCTGCAAAGGAACATGTTACATTTGTGATAATGCCACTTTAAAACAAACTTTACAAAATAAATTAACATCATTTCTTTTGAATTTGGCCGGGGAAACCGTGCACAAACTTAGTTTAGTTGTATATCGCTACATTGTATATTTTTCTGATTTTGTTTTAGATGCCAGCTCTCAAACCGCGTTTTGAGATATCAAAAACAAGAGAAAGACCACTATATGAATGCCACTTCCTTGAGACATCAGATCCTATTCTCAATTTCTGTTTTCACACCCTCATACTAAGGACGTGTGATTGCTTTGCAATTATACCTTATATAAACTGCGTCTCAAGCTCAGAGCTGGTACAATTTTGGCAATATTGGTGCATGTATCATAATTTTCTTGGACACTGACAGCTGGCCATCTGACAATAACTGTCATAATTAAATACGATGGCATTTAGTATTAAACTTATACTCTGATTTATACTCTTGAAGCTTATACTCTTATAATAATAATAATAATAATAATAATAATGTTTTTATTTCAAGTATCCATGACTCATATAAATTGTTAATAAGACTTAGACCTATGTTAGTAGTTATATTTACATCACAATGAATTACTGTGGTAACATCCCATGGGAGATGGCACCACAGCGACCCATGTATATACAGTCCAGCCTGCTTGCGATCATGCTCAGGATACTGTTGGAGCTGGCCCTCACTCTGTTTACCAGAGATGCACACCTCTTACGCATGGTAGCGTAAAAACAATCTATGTGCGCGTCTGCAAACATCCCTGATGCGCTACAAAAGCGGGGCATCACCACCAGCACCCTAAACGCATATATATATATATTTATACTCTGATGAAAATAAAAATCTCAATTTTTTCATAAAATTATATTACTTGAAATAAGTAATAAAAATATTTACCATACATAAAGTGGGCTCTTTTAGTTCGATTCAAAAGAAACACTTTTACTGTATCAGCTATATAGTCAGTTATTCCGTTCTAATTCAGTTTTCTTGGGAAAATATTTTGAGAAACATGATTTTCGTTATCAGAATAATTTGATTTCTAATTTGAAACGACTTTTTCAATATTTATAAGCAACACAGAAAATTTTTGTACTATTTGATAATAATTGTCATTTTATCTTAAGCTCTGGTACAATTAATATATTTCATGTGCTCAGTTTTGGCTAATTAAAGTGAGACGCTGCTCCAATGAGGTATGTGAGATAGAACTTTTTGAATGTTACGCAATCAAACATTAATCGAACGTATTTTACAGTCAACACATACCTTAAATATACCTTATATTAATTTCACAGTGGATACCACAATACGAAAGCTGCTACGAGACATGAATGTTTCTTTGTTGTAAGGGGGTGAACGAGTACCCCACCTCGTATACTATAGTGATTACTGGAGTCTATAGAACGACCGTCTGGTGTAGTGGTAAGTGACATGGTCACTACACAAGGGGGTCGCGAGTTCGAATCCCGCCAAGGTAGGATATTTGTATGATAAATATAAATGTCTTTTCCAGGGTTATGGATATATCTTAAATATATGTATGTATAATAAAAAATCTTACATTTATTTCCGCTATCTGGTACCTGTAACACAAGTTCTTTACGAACTTACCACGGGACCAATTAACGTGGCGTGATTGTTAGTAAAAAGTAAAAGTGAAGCAAAAAAAAAAAAAAATTATAGAAGTCAGAACAAAAATCCCGAATTCGAAACTAAAACACTGAAATTCGCTGCATGCTTCTTGGCAGAAATAGGCAGAAAGGTAATATCTAACCGTGCAAACTCCGAATAAGTTCACCACCAGTTCGTGTTTAAATTTCAATAGCACCGGCTATTGGCTATTGCTATCCGAACCTTCAAACTGAATTATACAATATCACTGTTAAATCACTTTCGGCGTATTGGGTAATTTCAGTGATGTATGGTGCATTGCGTATTTTGGCGAGTTTTCATATTTTATCCGGAGAAATAGATGTTTCATAAATCAATATTGTCGATATATTGAGAAGTATAAGAATAATAACGACATCGAATTGACCGTCATTGGATTAACAATTTTTCATGTTTTTATCTTAGGTAAGTCTTAATAGCATATATGTACCGTCCAACGATCTTATACCATTAAACGAGCAATTCTCGGAAACGGCTCCAACGATTTTCATAAAATTTAGTATACAGGGGATTTCGGGGGCGATAAATCGATCTAGCTACGATTTATTTTCCGAAAATGTTGTTTTATTCGTGTTTTCAATAATCAACTCTTCCCGACATCTATTGGCGAATAATAATACTATTTTTCTTAATTGAGGGCAACTAACCGCTTTAAAGACACAACAAGATGGCGTTATCAAAAAAAAAACCGAGCAAAGCTCGATCATCATCTAGTTAATCATAAAGCTTCCAATCTTCTATTTATTTGTGAACATACCAAAAATATAAGCATGACTGAAAAGTATCACTCAAACGCGTTTAATATTGAACTATTATTTAATTTAAAGCACTACAAAACCGAACTATTCACTCGAACTCGTTAACTGAATCAGTCTAAATAACTCATTTGATAATAATACATTGTTGGTCATAATTAAAAATGAACCTTACCTTACCTTAAGTTTTGGTTTATTAGAAACTATTTATTTTAGCCAGTAGTTAACCGATGGTAGAATTATGGATCCGCCCCGGTTAGTGCCACAATGTTATTCAAATATTCCTTCGGGATTTCACGTTCCATCTAATATTATGTGGTTACAAACATAGACTGTACTTGCTTCGGCAGTACATATATTAAAATTGGAACGATACAGAGAAGATTAGCATGGCCCCAGTGCAAGGATGACACGAAAAAAGATATCACTAGATAGATAGATAGATATAAGTGGAACTGAGCAAAAGCTTTCCAAATTTTTTTTATTCTTTCCAATCCTTTTTTTTGGTAACTGCGAGAAAAGATGAATTCAATTTTCAGACATTTTTAGTTAGAGTTGTCCTTTTTATGCTCTATTCGAAAAGCAATTGATTCAACCCCGATAGTTAAGTATTATCACTTCTTTTCAATTTCTTCACACTCACAATTTCACAATTTCTTCGTTGCACTGAAATCATTCAAAGCTTCGATTAAATCTAAGTTTTTGAAGTGAAAACTTCTTAAGAATCGTTGTGATTTCAAACCGGATGCAACGGAAAAAACGACAGGTAAGAGACACAAATACAAAAATGTGTAGGATGAAGCCAGCAAAGAATGAGACAGAAATATACATACTATTTAATACAGTGCCATCTGTGAGTTTTTTTTATTTTTTATTGCTTAGTTGGGTGGACGAGCTCACAGCCCACCTGGTGTTAAGTGGTTACTGGAGCCCATAGACATCTACAACGTAAATGCGCTTCCCACCTTGAGATATAAGTTCTAAGGTCTCAGTATAGTTACAACGGCTGCCCCACCCTTCAAACCGAAACGCATTACTGCTTCACGGCAGAAATAAGCGGGGTGGTGGTACCCACCCGCGCGGACTCCCAAGAGGTCCTACCACCAGTAAATCCAATCTAAGTATGCGGCATCGCGCCATCGCCTCTAACAGAGACGTTAATTATATCGAAAAATAGATTTCAATTTTGATTTCGAATCAATCACAACCGGATTATGCGGGCAGTGAAAAAAGTCACCTGAATTTGCGTACAGTTTCGTTGAAAAATGCTCGGTCTACCCTTTACGTACGCCAAAAATCGTTTAAAACCGCCACACCAATTAGGTCGCTTTGTTCGTTCAAAATACCCAATTTTTATTCAAAATAGTCTCACGATGAAAGCAACCCAATTAGTTATTGTATCGTGTTTTATTTAATGTATTCTAAATAATATAGATCAAAAAACTTTACCGAATTTATTGAAGCTAAAACTGATTTTTGTATTCGTTTAAAATAATTAAGTTCGCTTATTTTTCAAGCAGTGCTTTTTTTTCTCGATAATAATTTAAAAAGTCTTTGATGGCGGCATCAGCAATATTGATGTATCAAAATTTTACTTTCTATTGAGCGGTAATCTTAATTGCATCGCAAATATTCATCAATTTATTTACGAATCACAAAAAAAGCTATATGCTCTTCAAAGTAGCTCAAAATATCACGAACTTGTACAGATCCAAGAAAGGTGGATCATCAGAAT